AAGAAAACCTTACAGCTGCATGAGCCGTGACTGTCACGTTAGCCTGATGGGACCAAACTCCCTTCGTGATTTTAAAACGTAAGACAGTACCCAGATTTGAAGACTACAGTAAGATTGAACTTCTACTGTTAATACGATTTTGGTAGGCTACTATTAGATGGATAGCCTAAATGTCCTAATTCAGATGCGCTACCGGTTTTTTTTTGTTTTTTTTTATGGTATATCAAAAAGTGTATATTTTTTTAATGTGATTGTTGGTACATTTGACCAGTTTTTACCATACTTTCAAAACAAAAATTAAAATAGGAAAAATATGTGATATGAAAATAATTGAAGACAAAATGTGTTTTACTGAGAAAAAACAAGATTTGGTTTTTAAAAAGCCTTTTTCCAAAAGGTACATCTGGAAAAGGGGGGTCGTCTTATATTCGGGCCAATACGGTATTTACTGTAAAATAGCTGTCTGTAGTAATTAGCATGTCGTGCGCTTCTCAACTGGTGGGTCATAAGTGCAAAATATTTAAATTCGGAAGAATTTTTCAGCCATTGTCATGTTAATAATAATTTTGCATATTTTGGACCTAAGTTCTTCCCTTGTGAGAAACAAGTGTGCTTAATTGTATTGAATGTGCACTTGTTGTGTACTTAAAATCTCAAAAGTATATTTTTTAAAAGCTGTAGTTGCAGAAAATATAATATGTGACCTTGGAGCACAAAACCAATCTTAAGTGTAAATTTTTTGAAATTGAGATGTATACATCATCTGAAAGCTGGATAAATAAGCTTTCCATTGATGTATGGTTTGTTAGGATAGGACAATATTTAGCTGAGATACAACTATTTGAAAATCTGGAATCTGAGGGTGCAAAAAATCTAAATATTGAGAAAATCATCTTTAAAGTTGTTCAAATGAAGTTCTTAGCAATGCATATTACTAATCAAAAATGGCGTTTTTATATATTTACGGTAGGAGATTTACAAAATATCTTCATGGAACATGATCTTTACTTAATATCCTAATGATTTTTGGCATAAAAGAAAAATCTAATTTTGACCCATACAATGTCTATTGCTACAAATATACTCCAGCGACTTAAGACTGCTTTTGTGCTGCAGAGTCACATCAGAATTGAATTGAAGGCCACTTAAAGAGAAACGCTTTCGTGACTATGATTCTTAATCTTAACACTTAAGTACAATAGCAAAAAGTTGCATTTGTAATAATGTACATTAAAAGTGTTACTTTGAAGTACTTTATAAATAATTATGTTTTAATAATCTTTTGTCATGTCGTGTTAACAAGCATGTGTAAAGTACTTATGATTTCATCGTTTATTTATATCATTTAATATTATAATTTTAACTAGTGGGTTGGTAGTACGTTTAAAGTTTCTATATTTTAAAAGTACAAAATCGCAACTTCATAAATGTGTAATTGTAAATATATTTAAATACATGACTAAAAAGTGCATTTTAGTTTTAGTATCATGCTTGTCAGTACAATCAGCAGTACACTTTAATCATATTTCAAAATTATGAAATTACGTATAAAGATGTACTTAAGTCCTACTTAAGTGGGTCAAAAAAAGCACTCTAAAGTTCAAATAATTGCATTTAATATAAATAAATATAAACTATTATGCATTGTGCATTTACAGTAAGTACTTTTCAGTAAAGTCAAGTACTTTTTTAAAAGTGTATTTCTTTTTCGTGAGGGTTGGAGAAAAGTTCAGTGTTTGAATTTGGCAACATTTGATACTGTGTTGGGTCACGTCTTGTAACATCAGGTTCCTAAAGCAAATTACTGACACAGAAATTTGTTTAAAAATGCCCTTTAATATTAAACTGACACCTCAGTGCTCATCGCTGTAATCTCACTCACTTTCCATTCCACCTCTGTAATCTAGGGGTTATTTTAGGTTATAAGTGATTGCTAATACACTAATGCACTAGTGCACACATTTCAACATGATTACTGACCTATCAGGAAAAAAATATTGTTGGATATAGTAAGCTTAAAAATATTATCAAGAAGGTTCTGCCCACAAAGAGCTCATGTAATATTGCTGATAGAGACGGATATGATGTTATATTGGCTGCATGGTATTGCTCATCTATCTCAGATGTGTCTCTCCTTTGGCAGTGGAAGCCGTGGGGCAGTGAGCACTTGAATGAGTTTCTGACAGCGTGTGTAGTTGAGTGTGTGTTAATGTGATCATGTGGGCGGCTGTAGCGCCCTGTAATAAAAGGCAGTAGTTTGGAACTGAGCTGGAGGGCATTACTGCTTGCTTGCTTGCGTGTGTGTGTGTGTGTGTGTGTGTGTGTGTGTGTGGGTGTGTGTGTGTGTGTGTGTGTGAGAGAGTGAGTGTGTGAGTGAGTGCGAGTGCGAGTGTGTGAGTGAGTGTGTGAGTGTGTCAAGTCAAGTCACCTTTATTTATATAGCGCTTTTAACAATACAGATTGTGTCAAAGCAACTGAACAGCATTAATTAGGAAAATAGTGTCAATAATGCAAAATGACAATAGTAAACACAAATTTTTCAGTTAAAGACAGTTCATCATTGAATTCAGTGATGTCA